ATATAAAGTCCTGCGGGACAAACTATATGGGCTCGTGTATTCGACAGAATAAAAACGCGAAAAAGGTATTATAATAGAGAATGTGGGTATAAAATTGAACCTTATAAAATTTGTGGTGGAACTACAGGAGTACGTCATCATGACCATATAAAGAAAAGATAACAATAAAGAATGTGAAATTATTATTAGATATATATATTTTTCAAAAAAAGGGTATCTTAATTAACCCAAATATTGCTGATAAAATCAGATATATATATATATATATATAGAAAAAAGGACATCATCTATATAATAAAATAGGCTGAAGAAAAATCAACTTTGGAAAAATATTTTGCACTTTAAATTAGCCATTTTGGACAATGGATATCTAGCTTCAACAACTCACCGGTTTAAAGTTACAAAAAAATCAGCAAATAGCCTAAACTTTTCATTAGCTTTTTTCACTGGAACCAATGGTGTAGCCCATTCACTATATTCCACCAGAATAATAATGCCATCTCTGACCAAACGGTCCAATTCGTCTTCAATTTCCTTTTTCCATTAGGAACTCGTCGACATGCTAAAAAAATGGGTGAAAATCCCTCTTTTAATTTCACATCTACTTGATAATCATTAAGACATACCAAAGTGTCATCAAAAATTATACCATATTTCTCCATTAAAATAGATATATCTTTTCACATTTTATTTAATTTATTAAATTCTAAATCAACAATTTGATCTTCATTAATTTCAATATTATTTTTAAAATTATCTGATTTAACAATTAATTCATCAGAAATTTTACACATATCAGAATTAATAAGGGATTCACTTCCTCTCTTATTAAATCCGTCATTTCTATTTCATGAATTTTATTTCGGACATTATACACAATAATTTTTCTTTCAGCATTATTTAATATCAAATCCCTATTTATTGTAAAAATATTCTAATAATTGTTTGGAGGACCAAGTTTGATTAACCAATCCCAACCCATGATAGTCTCAACATTTTTTTCTACCACCCATAAATCAAGAAAAAATGTTATATCATTGAGAACTATTCCCAATTTGGTTTTACCCAAAATCACAATTTCAGACCCATCAAATTGTCTCACACACATAAATTTTTTCCCAAGTGTACCCTCAGGCCAATATTTATAAAAATTTTCTGCAGACCTTATTGAAATGCTTGCCCCAGTGTCAAACAACCTTTCAATATTTTGTCCATCAAAATTTATATTAACATGAGGATATGAACATTTACTAACCTCTCTTTCAGTCATTAGAATTTTATTCATTCTAATCAGCTGAATTATATTTTTATATTTAAATTATCTCTAATATAATTAATATTCATGCCTAAATTCAACTCTGAATTTAATGGCCTCTGAATATGAATAACTTTTTTATTATTAAATATATCCGAAAAATTTTAATAACACTATATATATTATAAATTTTATTATTAATATATGATTTTTCGATATTTATATGATTCTCTTTCAAATCATATAGTCACTGCAATCCACTCATGGATTGAACATATTTCATAGCAATATGACTCATTTCTTCGCACTTGAAACACATTCGGTCATTATCCATATTATATATATCTTTTTCACTTAGATTTGAAATAATAGGATTTTTTATATTACAAACCATTAAAAACCATCTTTAAAATTTACTTCTTTCACCATACAATTTCTTTTTATATGACATGAGTCATTTATTTTTCGATCACACGAAAAACAATTTTTGCAATTTTCACTAAAATTATTTTTTTTATTTCTAAGTGTATCTATATCTCTAGAAAGATTTTTTAAACTTTCTCTAATTTCTTTGATCTCATGTGGAATTAAACATTCATTTCCACTTTGTTTAACATTATGAGTAACACTATTACTTTTTATAACCTCCACATGTTTTTTAATTTCATTCACAAGTGAATTTAAACTATCATTTATATCTTTCTATATCATAATATTTTCATAGGAGGTACTTCACTACTGTTTGACTCCTCATTCCCACTGGAATTATTTATTTTACGAATACTTGAATTTTTAAGTTCAAGTAAAATCAAGTTCAAACTATTTATTTTATATCTTCAGAAAAATCTAAAAACTTAGCAGATGTCATAGAAATCACATCCACACATTTGAATCATCTAACTTACTCACTTTATTTGTAAAATATTTTTTCTTAATTATCTTCACGAATTACTGCACAAAAATTAATGATATATATAAGATGAAAAATATTAAAGCTGTAACCACACAATAATTGGTCACATCCAATTTATCAAAACTCGAATTAAAAAAATTTAAAAATATTATTCTTATAAATTTGCATTTTATTAAAAGTAGAATTCCTATGAAAACTAATAAAATAATAAACCATTTAAAATACTTATAATAAAAACACTATTACCAAAAATTTAATAACTGCGTTGAATATATAAAAAAAAATTTTTTACCTTTAAATCCTTATAAGAATAATTTATTAGAACCCTGTTATAGAATCCTCCACGATGTGAACTGTGTCAAACTGTGTCATAGAAATTTTTTTTATAATAAATGTCTTAATTCAGAATACGAAAAATTCTAAGTCATGTGCACCAATTAATTAAAGAATTTATTATTAGATATTTATTTCTTTATTGATTTTAAATTTATACCCAAATTACAACAAAACATTTTTTTTAAAATTAATACAAGAATTAAAAAAGTTTTAAAGTCAAGTAAAAAAAATAATAATAAAAAGCCTTTTTTTTATAAACAATATATTTCTTTATAAAAACTACAAAAATGATTGACATTTTTATAATATTTTATTCATATTATTTTGTTTTAATTCTAACATCTGCAGTTGCTTTTTTGAGGAAAAAGAACGTCATTCGTTACTTGGTACAGAGAGTAACGTGTAAAGCGTTTATTTTTTTTATTAACCGTAAGTAACGCAACGTTACTTTAAATTTTTTCTTAAAAATTTGCGAAAAATATGATTTATTTTTATATATAATGTTTTTTTTTAAATTTCATAAATTTTAAGCAGTTTTTAATTCAGGTCAACTTCTAAGTTTTTCATTTTTATTTTATTTGTTACATCTTTTTTGTTAATTTCATACAGTCAAGATTGTCATTCTAATTAATATAGAATCAATCATGGTATGTTAATTTATATTCACTAACATAAAAATATATGTCAATAGTACTTATTTCTATGATGAAGAGGATTTATCCCCTAGCCCCAGTATGAAACATATTTTGAACATATAAAGAAAATTTAGGGCTTAGGTCTACACATTTCAGGTTTAGATTATGACCTAATTCAAATATTTCAACCTTGATGTCCAATAGCTCAAATCTGTAGTGATTTAAGACCGAATTAGACAAGTCTTGTCTTGATTATATTTAAGTATAATAAATTGAAAGTGAAATAACTGATTTGGATTCTACTAAAATCCTTTTTTATATGAAAAGTAAATCAATTATTGATATAAAAAGTCAATTATCGATATAAAAAAGTAAATAAATTTTCTTGTTGATATGAAAGTAAATTGTTATATAACAAAGTTACTCTTCTCTTGTATATAAATAATATAGATACAATAGCCAAAGGCTTAATTTTAAAAATAACAAAAAATATAAAACATAAATATGAATTCAGATTATTCTGATAAAATTCTGATAAAGATTTAAAAAAAAAATTTGATGAGGATCTGAATAAGGATTTTTGTGAAGATGATATGATTATGACTTTTGAAATAAAGTTATACCTAAACCCATCATAGCACAGGTAGAAGAATGCAGATCTGAGTCATTTAAAAAAACATTATTGCTAAAAATTATTTTGATATTTTTGTTTGGATCTTTAAGCAGTTAATAATTAATTTTGATTTTGTTCAGTAGTTCATGAGTTCTCACTGTTTTTGGAGATTGGGGTCTGCATAGACCTCACCTTTTTATCCATGTAGCTTTTATTTCCTTTAAAATTAATATATTAAGCGTAAATAAACACTTTTTATACAGCTTTTAAATTAAAAATTATATTATATTTGAACTTTAAATTAACATTAGCATTATAAATGTTATTTAATATTTTTTTATATACTATTATGACATTTTAAATAGCCTGCCACTTTTTTGATTCTTGGCAAAAGCTGTCATAAAATTTTTAAAAATGAAAATAACAATAAGAGTCACTAAATTAGAGTTTATTTAATATATGATATAAAATATGAAAGCTAAATAATTTAATTCTAAGAAATAGCATATCTAGATTGGGGTGCCAGAGAATTTCACCTTCTAGACATTAGTGTCATATTTTTCACCTGTGCTATTAAGGGTTAATATTTAAAATAAACTTCGATTAAAACTTTTATTTATTAAATTTAATACAGTCTACCGCCAGTAGAACAGATAGCAAGGTTTTGCATTTCTAGAGTTGACTCAAATACTGTTAAAAATTGAACTAATTTGCCATCACTTGTTTGTGGTGCCTCACTCTATACTTTAAATATATAAGCGGCGGCTCCAAATATAATGAAAACAAAAATATTAAAAAATAAAACCTTTTTCTTCTCTATCTTCTATGTGTCTATATAAAAATTGATTTTTTCTATTTTCATAACAATAATAAATAAAATGGATTCAAATTTAACACTTTTCAATGATAAATTTTTTTGGCGGGGAAGGGGGTGACTTAGCTGCTCCTCAAAATTTTAAAAGAAAGCTAAATATCAAAAAATGTTAGCGGGAGGATTAGCAACCTATCCTCCTCACAATACACCTCAGTGAACAATATTTAATTTATATTTAAAATGAATTATAATATTTAATTAATATAAATTTAAATTTTAACTGAAATAATATAAAAAATATATTGTAGTACTATTATTTATAGGCTAATTGTTTTCAATCCTGTTTTTATACAGTGTATTAGTACTGTATACATCTATTTTTAATTTAAAAAACACCCGAAACGAAAAAATATCTAATTTTTAAAAATCATCTGATTTCGTCATAATAATATTTTTGCTCTTTAATTTTATAGTTATTTTTAAATTTAATGCTGAAGATGAATATTATTGGAAAAATACCTTTCTCTAATATATATCCTAAGAATATGAAACCTTCACATAAGAGTAATGTTATATATTTAAAATATTTGTGGTGTAGGACGTTATTTTATTTAGCTCAGATTTAAATAATTCTTATATGCAAAATATCTATAATGAATTAACAATTTAACTTTGTAAGATTCATTAGCTAATAATTAAAATTTAATCAGAATATATATTATTTAACCAACAACGATTCATCATAAATTTCATATATTAATATTCTTCTAGCCATATTTTTAAAATACTTCTTTTTTTAATCATATTTAAGATTAAACATTATTTACAATATCAGGTTCAATTTAAATCCTACTTTCTTTATCTTTTATATTAGATGATTTAAGAAATCTATTATAACCAAATTGGAATTTATTCCTAGCTAACTTTTTACTATCAAAACTTTTACAAACCCCTTAATAGTTTACCTTCTATTGTCATCTATTGGTTTGATGATTTGTATTAGATAATAAAATTAGTTTTACTTAGTTGAATATATGCCAAAATAATTACTTTTCTTTATTAAAATATAATTAGGATTAAAATCCTAAAGGTTGGTCCATCAACCTTATTCCTGGACCAATCCAGTGGCAACACCATCCATAAAATATAGGTCTGGCCTGTGCTACAAAAATATTAATATTATATTTTCATGCTAATCTTCATTTTTTGCCTGTTATGATAAAATTTTGGAGGCTTGATCCAAAAATGTTTATTTTGCAGTTATCTAATCAGGATTTTTTTTATAACTCTGAATTTTGACCTGATCAAACTCACCCAAATTCATTTTAGGCAATTTTATAAGTACTGTACAGGTATATATACAAGGTGGGGGAAGTCCCCAAAACCAAAAAATTTAGATTCCTGCCATAATATTTTTCACAAATATTTATGTTTTATGATTAATAATTTAGATTTTTTTAATAATCAGTCCTACCTCTTATTGCATATATATTCCAATTGCATTTATTTATTATATTCATAGCAGAAATAAATACGATACTAATTTATTTATCAATTAAAATATTGATTTCAATTTCCTAGCCATTGTATTTATCTATTTCCCACTATATCACTTGAAACTTTTAACTGCAAAATTAAAGTAAATATTTCAAAAAAAAATGATCTCAATTTGAAGACTATTAGAATAACTGAAAGCATTATATTGGAACTCAAAAAATTAGAGAAAATATAGATAACAAATTTCATAAATTATATGTCATTGTTGAATCAAAAGTCTTGCATAAAGGTATGCCCATTGTTCCAATTCAAGCTGTTTAGAAATTATAAAATAAATCTCTTTATCTACCTCTTGGATACTTTTATAACTCAAATGAATGAAATCATAATTAGACATTACAAATCTGTAGATATTATGATCACAGTACATTAAATTATCCCATGATGCATTAATAGTGTAATACACACCATAGTATAAAAGGTAAAGATGGTTGATAATGTTCCATAAAATGCTATTGATACTTTGCATAATTTCAAACACATTTTAGTCCATTTTCTTAATATATAAAAATTATTATATATATAGCAACTACCAGGCCTCTAGGTCTCTATATTTGATTAATGATTGTAATTTAATACATTGTTTTATAAATGAATAAAATTAACCCTATATATTATCTTTACATCATGTGTCGATTAATATGCCGAATTTTAAAAACGGCTAATTCTATAAAAATATTACACAAGTCTGAAAATTTTGCTCATAGATGGCATAATGGTTTGGACATATATTAGCGAAATCTCGAGGCTTAGGCAATATTTTTTTAGCTAAAATATTGAGTTAGCTGTTTTTAAAAATGGCTCAAAGCAAGCCGTTTGACAACACTAGCACCGATTCCTATTTTCTATACTCACATTACATTATTTATAACTTAAGAGAAAAAAATAAATAGGGTTGCACATATATAACTAGACTTTTTGAGGGGAATATATGTGTCATATTCCTCGAAACCTTAATTCATAAAATATAACACTAAATAATGGGTGATATTATTATGTGCAGCAAACCAATATTTATGAATGAGCTATTATAAATATTATATTTGCAATTATGTAATAAAATAATTTTTTAGTTTTCCAAACGTTCCAGAACTGTTCTCTTTTATTAGTTTAGGACAAGTGCATAATTACTGTAGACCGATAGAGTATATGTCTCTCTATGGAAAGAACTTATTTGAATAATATTTTAAATAAAATTCTAATATATATATATATATATAACTTTTTGATGATAATTTTTAAACGATGGCAGGTAGTGAGTCAGATCGAAACCGATGTTGACATATAATATTCATTTATATTTCAAAATTACACAAACATAATACTTCTCAATTTTTTTTATGGATTTACACGTTTTAAACCACCCTAGTTTGTTTATTGCCAGCTCTATAATTAATATTTTTTGAGTATCTTTTTAATGTATGAACCTAATATATAACTGTTTATCAAATTAATTATATAAAACTATATTCTAAAAGTTCAAAAATTTGTTTTATATTAGCTCTAATTATTTTGATATTTTTAAAATATCTTTTAATATATAAAATAAATATAAAATCTAATAGGGCGAAATTATGTTTTGATGTGATGCTTAGATTTAATGTCATTTTATTCTATAAACAATAAAGGAATAACTGATTTTCTATAGGTTTGAAATTGAAATAAAATGATTATTAAAAAATATTGTCTAAAAAAATAGTAATATGATATTTGATTAAAGTTGTGGGGCTTCAGTTATGGGTAGTATAGTTGGAGATACCTGGCCAGTTAGTCTATGGGATCGAGTATGAACCATAATAATATTAAACAGACAGAACTTATTTAAATTTTATCACGTACAAAAAAAAATTAATTATAAAAATTTATAAACCAAAAATATAATATATACATAAAACATAAAAAAAATAAAAAGCGAAATTATAAATTAAAATAAAATTGACCCAAGATAAAAATAGAACGTTTTTGCCAAAAGGAGTTGTGTAGGTTTTATCTTACATAATTAGAGATAAAACCTACCCCCCCCCCAATACTTTTCGGAAGCCAAATTATACCATTGGATTCAGGGCGATCTCCTGGACCTTAATATCTAATTTATATATTTATATTTACTGAACACCTAAGGAATCCAAAAATATGAAAAACCCCTGATTAAAAAAGAACACAAAAACCATATGTTTTACTTTTAATGTAATTAAATCAAACAAAAGAGAGATCTAAAAACAAACTTTATTTGTATTTAAGACAAAACAAAAAAGGGATAAAAAAAACTATTTTTAATTGAAGTGTATTTAAGGCTAAACAAAAGAGGGATAAAAACTAGATTAAAATAAAATATGGAATACATATTTAACAGATTCCTCTTCAGAATTTGTCTGATAGGACAACCGTTAGGGTGCACTAGATGATGTTTATTCATCTATAAAGGTGCATGGTTTAAATCTGATTAATTCTGGATCAAAATTCTATTCTATCACCTTTGATCTATGGACAGATCATTTTAAGCGTCGAAATTATAAAACATTTGGTCTTCGTTATTTAAATGAAAATTTTGATTTAAAATATTTTACCCTGGTAATTAGAAACTTTACGCAAAAGCATACGGGTGAAACCATATTATCTGAGATCGATAAGGTAATCCATTTAAAAAAAATAATGTAGATGGTAACTGGTGCTAAGGCAATGCCAAAATAAGCGCCAGATTGTGGGATTATAAGCCTCATATATGCTTAGGGCATAATCATAATTTAGTTATGGTTGATGACATAAAAAAGTTGCCTGACTAAAAAAAAATTAGAGAAATCATTTCAACCCTCAGATATCGAGTAGTTGATTTAGAATGTGAAATTGAGGATGAGCATTGTAAATGCCTGTAATCGATTTATAAGACAGGCCATATTTTAGATATTGATAGTTCTGATCCATACCTTGATGAACATTTTAATATCTTTGGTAAGGCTGATATTATAAATTGCATTTTGCACCAATAAATTTAATTAATATTAAAAAAATTAAATTTCCCTACCCGCTGGCACTTAATTATGCTAGAAAGTATCCGTAGTGTTCAAGATTTCTATAAATAATGTTCTAAATAAAATAGAAAAACATCTTTAAAACCCTTTAATACCTTGATATAATTAACGGACTTTACACATTATTAAATCCATTCAGTGAGTCGGTGGAATTTCCCTCTCAAAAGGGATCAACAATAAATTTAGGATTTATTTCGCAGTGAAATATAAACACATATACTAATCAATAAATCTGATTGCATATTACCGAACTTCAAGTATTTATTTTATCTTATATTTTTATTAATAAAATTATATTATAAAAATTTGATATTAGCGACACTACTTCAAAATCTTAAAATTGTTTCAGAATATATTAATTTGAACTTTACGACATCATTGCAATTTTTAATTAGACATTTATAACTTTTGAGCATGATAGAAATGCACAGAGTTAGATTCAAGTTGGAGATACTGGGTAAACATCCAGTTCATATATAGCTATAATAGCTCTTAAATAAACTATTCGCAATGATTATAACAACATTAGCAATATAGAGCAAGAATGCCATATTTTTCTCAGCCAACTTAGTATACCAGAAGAGAATGCACTGACTATTTGGGGAAAAAGCTACTGGAACTTCCTAGGCTTGCTAATTTATCTAGGAAGGTTCTTTATATACCTGCAACCAGTTCACCTAGGTGAAGAATTTTTTCTATCGCTGGATTAATACTCAATGCAAAAAGATATTTTATATCCCACGAATCTTGATAATACTATTTATTCATGTTAATTATAATTTTATTTAATCTTTCTAATTTAATATATTTCTTACTTTATATTTTGGTGTTGTTTATGTGACTGATCTGAGTAAAAATGTAATTCCTTCGTCTATTTCTGAGAATAAGAAAAACAAATTTAAATAGGAGTGAAACAGAAAATAATCTAAAAAATTTACTATATTAACAATGTTAGAACTAAGTGCGCCCAAATAAATTATAAAAAAAATGTAATACATTGTTATTATATTAAATTCATTAAAAAAAATTTTAAATTAATAGCGAAATCGTCACGCCGCCGAACGCCAATAAAATTTTTTAAACGCCGCCGTTAATTGTGGCTTCGTCAATCAATATATATAATGCTTAATTATCAACCGTATTAATTGTCTTTTTTTCAATGCAGATATATATTTAATTCATATTATTTTGCATTGAAAGTACTATATTTATATTATCTTCCTTTGAAAGAACAACTTAAGATAAAGACATTGAAATAAATGAACATTGTAAGCAAATTGTTATTTAATTATTGTTATATTGGATTTTTTATTGTAGGTGTGCTAACATATGACTAGTTTCGTTCTAATACTCATCAGATATATGTTGAGCTGAGATTTGAATCGGATTAGTGTCATTTGTCTGTGCTTACGAGTACCACCTTCCTAATAAACTGTAAATGGTGATAAATATTTTTTATACATCGATTTTACAAAGTAAATGATAAATCAGAAGGTGAAAATTTTAAGCCTTCGCAAGATTTAAATTTCAAGCTCATCCCAGATTTTTTTGAATTATATTTGACCCTGGTATTTATATTAAATCCTGCCCAGATTTTTATATATTTTTGGTGGGTTGGCTGGTTAATTTTAAACATTGCTGGGTCGGTTAAAATAATTTTAAAACTAGTGGTAGCAGGTTAAATTTTTTTAAACAATAACGGACGGTTCTTTAGTCCAGGGCGAAAATACTTAGTAATATTTATGTTATAAATCTAATGGCTAAACATTTTATATTTTATGAAAATTATACTGACAATGTCATATTTAGGTCAATAAACAAATTCTCATATTTTTGGAATATTTTTCTATTTTCTAAATATCACAACAAAAAATAGTTATTTTATGAATATAATACAATAATGATAACAACTATAAAAAATCAATAAATCATAAATAATTTTTAAGTTTAATATGTATCTATATATGACTAGTTATTACTGAGTTTCTAAAAAGCCCGCCGGGTCTATTTAAAAAAACGACTCGTATAGGATTTTGGCCAAAATAATATTGCTCATAGATGGCAGAAAGCTTTAGATTTCTATGGATATTTAAATTGGTATTCTAATTAATATATAATGAAAGAAATTTATCTTGTTAAAATTAAGTCTTATCAAACCTTAAATTTTGTTCTCGATATATTGTAGTATTTTATAAATAATCATGCAATTAACGGATATTTCTACATTGCTGATTGGGCTAAATTATTTTTTTTACAATTATTAATTATTCGTGTGCAGTCATAGACCTAAATGTACATAGAATAAGCATTAAGACAATATTGGCAAAATTGTTCAATTAGAGGCCATGATTGTTTGCCTTATTTATGCTTACTTTAATAGGAAATAGGGATGGTATATTTTATTTTAAAAAAAACGTTATAAGGACCATTGAATTTTTTTATTACAATAGGGCAAACAATCTTATGAATTTTTTTTCTTCATGATAAGTATTTATGTATGTCAATGTGTGCAGTATAAATATATACTTTTTTTTAATTAGGGGTGAAAATTGTAAATGAACACGAAAATAATTCCCGCTACATTAATATTCGATATACTCTCCCTCGCGGACGTTTAGATGCCTCTAACTACAATTCAGAAAACGTGATCTCCTTGTTAGCGGCAAATTTGAAAGAAACGTCCTTTAATAATGGTAGCATCTCCAATTTAATTTGGGAAGAGATCAGGAGTCTATCTTTTAAAAGCCCGGAAAATTTTAGATCCCTACTTCCCAGTCAATTGTATCCGATTCTCAATTTATCAGCAACCACCCATAATTTCAGATCGTTTCACGTGGATCCATTTAATTTAACCAAGTTAATGATTTTCATAAGTTATTATTTTTTAGACGAAAATAATTTAATATTTGTCAAATTTTCGCACACAATATAATAATATTTCAATTTCAAGGTTCATAATAAAATAACCTTGATCATTTATATAAAATATTTAAATAATATTAATTATATAATAATATAAATGGATTTCAAATAAACTTTTTATGGAGAATAACAGTTAAAACTAGGCAAAGCCTTTCTAATCACGGATTTATCAGAATTATCATTGGGTTGAGCCAGTGTTGTTAAACGGCTCGTTGTGAGCTAATTTTTAAAAACGGCTAACTCAATATTTTAGCCAGAAAAATATTGCCTAAACCTCAAGATTTTTATAATATATGTGCAGATCCTTGTTCCTTCTATTAGCAAAATCTTCCAGCTTGGGTAATATTTTTCTGGATGAAGTATTGAGTTAGCCTTTTTTAAAAATTGGCTCAAAACGAGCCGTTTAACAACACTAGGTTGAGCGTTATCTTTAAGATAAACATATATTATATTACGATACTTTTGCCGACTGTCCCCTTTTTGCTGATACAGTTCCTTTTACGAAAGCAATTTTTAATATGTCCCTTTCTCACTCAGAAGCGCTCTTTGTCCTTTTTAAAAAATATATAAGGTAAGTTAACTTCTATAGGTAACTTGGATATAACTTTCCTTACTGTTAATTAAATTTGAAAGTCCGGTCAGAAGCCTATCTGACGTATTGTTAAATTACTCTGGTATAGTTAACTCCTTATTATTGTTAATTAATTTTATTAACTCTCTATCTCATAATGTTTCGATTTAAGTTTAACTTCAATTTTTTTAAAGTTATTTTTAAATATCCGTGCAGGGCTTAAAACTTTTTTTTTTAATATCTGAGCCGGGCCGATTATTTTAAAATTAAATATTTTAAATCGCCAGGGCCAGTCCGAAATTTTATTTTTTTAAAATCAGGGCCGGGCTATGAAATGGTACCTCTGCAGCTCTCTGATAGAGAATGTATAATATTTATATATTAAATATTGAAAAATAAAAGGTTTATGTTTATTACAATTTCAAATAAATACATATACTTTTTATTTTTTTAAAATTATAAATCGAATTGTACAGATAAAGTTGACAGTTTATATATTTAAATATTAATTTTGTGATCCTAGTTTCCAAAGAAAAAAACACAAGATCATATTTACTCCATTCTATTTTATTAAAATAAGTGAAGTTCATACTGAATAAATGAAAGAAATTTTTTTTTAATGAGGTAGTATTTTTTTATTAAGACATTATGTAACGATCCAATATTTATATTGATTTTTATTTATTTATCTATCTATAAATAAATAAAAAACCAACAACTTTTACTTATGATTAAATTTATTCTGTTTTTTTTATTCTCCAAAAGTTAATCATCTCATTTAATATATCGGAAATTTTATGTCTCAATGTAGTGTTGTTAAACTACCCGATTTAGCCTATTTTGAAAAGGGTTAAATCAAGATTTTGACCAAATTATTAGTATATAAACCTCTAAATTTTGCTAATAAATATGCGAACCTTTCTGCCATCTATGGGTAAAATCAAAGCTTTAAAATCTTGAGTTTAGACCTTTTTGAAAATTTTCTAAGTCAAGACGTGTAACAACACAGCATTTTTAAATCCTTTTCTTGTCGCAGAGAATATAACAAAAAATTATATTAAATTTTTACCCTGTCATTTAATTATATTTTTTTTTAAAAAATTACAAATAAATTGAATTTTTGTTCCTACCGAATCGAATCTTTTTCTTTTTTGATTGGACTCTTTTCTTTTTTGGATGAGAAATCCTGTAACAAATTATTCATTGCACTTTATGCCCTTATAATTATAATAAACAAACTTGATATGCTCTTTCATACTCCTAATTATTATTGAAGGTGAAAAAACTTAAATACCTTAATGGATGTGTTGTCCTTCATTTCCAATATATAAAATGTTAATAAAGTTATATAGAATGGAAGGATATTATTTTTTCATCAAAATTATATTAAAAATAAATGTTACATTCATTTCATTTTAGCCTCTTTTTATCTCCATCTATTTATCCTAATTTGGCACCGAATTGTCATTACACTATTATATTTACGCTGAGAAGAAAAGGTGGTTCTAGCAGCAACAACAATAATAACTCATCCAATTCAAGTTCTTCTAAAGGCGGAAGTGGTAAAAAAATTAAAAATGAATATATATTATTGCATAAAAATATAAAGTTAAAATTTGCATAATTATTTTTTGGCCGCATAAAAAAAGTCTATCAATATATATAGCAATCTTGTAATTTATTCCTATGGTTTGGAAACTGATTTTATTGGTCATTTTCGAGGGGCATTTAATTATAAAGGTAATCATCTCTAAAGATTTTGCTTTGTATAAAAATTGAACTTATATATATTTATTAATAGGAAACAAAGACGATGGTGATAATACGAATAGCAAGGGGTTGCTACCACCACTTTCTACGACTAATTCTACTATTCAAATAAAAAATTTATCGTCCGGAAATGGTGGAAGTTCTTACAATAATACTACCGGCGGTCCAACCAAAATCCGTTGTCCCAAATGCGGGATGAATTGCTCGAATGTTGATACTTTGATATGTTAGTTCAGCTTGATAATATCGAAATTTTTTTAAACATTTTTCTCTTTTTTAAGAATGTTTTTCATGTAAAAAAGCATCTTATAATAAAATCATATTTTAATCATCTTTTGTTTATTACTTTTCCGGTTTAATTAACCCATAATTATGTATTTTGATAATCGTCACTAGTTATAGTCAGTCAATATAGCATGAATCACGACAAAAGGCAACTACTATCTTTTATTTTTTTTAATAAAATGTTTGCCTTTATTTGTAGTTTTTATTTAAAAATTTATTTTAAATTAAATTTACATGACACTTTTTTTTGCTAATCCGTTTATCGAATAAAAGATTCGCGTGTTTGGGAGTTGCTAAAAAGTAATGATTTGAGTTTAATTGTGTCATTGAAACCTGCCGGGGCTCCCGGACACAATAATCGAACCCATCATTTCTCTGATGATGATGCCTTTGACGGAAGCAAAAGTGACAAAGGTATTCATTTAGACAATGCCATGAAAGATGCATTGAGGAAGGAAATTGCAAGGAATTTTTTAGCCCACATGTCGCAAGCCGAGAAAAGGACTAGTCAAGGCACAGAGTTTTACAAGGAGAAGCTAGTGGCCTTTCCTCGTAAGTGCTAAAAGACCAATCAATCAAACATCCCCGAATTAAATTTTCCCATCTTGATAAATTTTACACATCTTTAAAAATTACTAGCCTTTTTTTATTATTTACATATATCGTAGATAATAAATATGTTAATAATATTTTTTTTAAATCAATTCTTTTAATAGTTTCGACTCGATTTGTTAAATGCGAAAAATGCCACCATTTTTTTGTCGTGTTAACCGAAAACGAAACTAAGAAGTATTATAGGAATAATTCGTCGTTCTTGGGAACGCAAACTGCTGAAAAGCAGATGCCATACGCACAAGGTCCCTTCTCCAAACCTCCCCCGCACCCTAAAAAGGTTTAAATATTTAATTTAATTTATTTTCTATTGATAATAAGCATTTGGAAAGATGTGTCGCGTTATTTACTAAGGTTTAAATTATATTTCGTTTATTAAGAAATTACTAAAATTTAAAGAGCAATAAAAACAAATTTCTTATTTTAAAAAAGATACCTTTTAGGTTTATTAATTTGATTTGAATTATTTTATGTTTTATAAATCTATTTTGAGATTATTTTTCAGGTAAATAATTTTAATTTATTACTTACTGGAAAAAACGATATTTTAGGTTATTTCACTAACATGATGATATCGTTACTTAAGTGTTGGTTTTATCGAGGCAGAGTTTGCAACCTAGATTAATAATTCAAAAAATTTAAACACTAAATAAATTTTCTAGAATAAATCATAACAACATTTTGAATTATATACATATAAATTAGTTGCACTTTTTATTATATCTGGTTCCTGAAATTTTAAAATGGGTTCCTATTTCTGTAAATTTTGAGAAAGGAGTGTGTTTCCTGCTAATATATTGGTCCCGGTTTTGAGGTTTCCATTCTAAACTATGCTTCTAAGTGCCATTTTAAGATGAAAATAATATTTAATCAATATGTATATGTATCGCCAAAAATATAATGAAATTTAGGGAACCGATAGTTTTTATAGGATTGGGCCGATCATTCCTTTTTTCTTAAATATCGGTTATCGACCGATATGATTAAATTTTTTGATCCGATAAAATGATAGTAGTATTTTTTGAATGACTATTCTTATGCTTATGGTATAGACATAGGTTGTGGTATGCTATTAAAAAAAGTGGATGAGTACATTAAAATTTAAAATATATTAAATATGTATAATGAGAAAATTATATTAATATGGAATCGGTAATCGGCCGATACTATATATAGGCAATATAGGATCGGCCTTCAAAAGGTAGTATCGGTACACCTCTAATGAAATTCTATTCGGTAGTCAGACATTTTAAACTCAATTTCCTTTATTAATTATTGTCGTTGTATAAGATCAATGCTCAGGTATCTAATATAATTGATTATTAATTAGAATTACAGTAAAAGAAAATCTGCTAGTTAATTTATTTATACTTTCTTCAAAGTTGAACTATATATCAATAAAACCGCGATGCAGAAATGATCGCTTTTGGCTAAGTACTAGGTTTAGCAAGCTAGAAATAGGTATCCAACTACTAATTATTTTCGAATTATAATTCTCTTTTTAATTTATCGATAACCCCCAATCAGATTTATGAGTTCCTAAACAGGTATGTAATTGGTCAAGAACGTGCCAAAAAAGTGCTATCCGTAGCAGTTTACAATCATTATAAACGAATTTACACAAATATTATCTGTCCACAATCAACTTCCAAATTATTTTCCGACAGTAAAGGGCCACCGGGAGAGGCAAGCCAAGAATTCAAATTTTCCCCTCCCTATAATCCTCCATTTTCTGCGTTCAAGGGTAACAGCCCAAAAAGTAACTTCCCATCTAGTCAAACTTCTACTATCAAAAATACATCAAAACATTCTAACTCCCCATATTTTGGTTCTAATAGCAATTCAGTGCTTGTAGAGAATGAAAATTCTGTGATTCATTTTGGTAAACCATCACATCCCGATCAGATTGTTACAACTCATAGAGGAGGTATTTATGTTACTTTATTTTTCAATTTATTGGCCCTTATAAATACTTTATTGGAATATTTTTTTAAATAATTTGAAAATTTATTTTAAAAAAATATACTATCGCTCATGTTTAAATTTATTTTAATTCGCAAAACTATATGATTTCTTTATAATATTAGTGTTGTTAAATGGCTCAGTTTACGCCGATTTTCTATAATCGGCTAACTCAGTATTTTAGCCCGAAAAATATTGCCTAATCCTCGAGATTTTGCTAAGATGTCCTTTGTGCCTATAAGAAAAATCCTCAGGTTTGCGTAATATTTTTCTGGATAAAATATTGAGCGAGTCGTTTTTAAAAATCGGCAGATATGAAACTTTTATGCATTTAAATTCATAATAATATTATCAAATATTTTCATAATTTGTAGGCACGTTATATATATTTTAGGTATATCTGAAACGAAATTTTAGCTCATTAGCAATTATATTATTTGAGTTAATGGGAATTAAAGGTACAAAAATCTGCCTTTTTTAACCTTTTACTGATGTTAAATAATTAGTTTAAAATTAAAAACTATATTAGTTCGAATATTGAATCTAATATTAATAACTAAGTCAATAATTGATAATTAAGGGGAAAGTATCAAAATCAATTTTCTTAAAAATATATATCATCTTACGTCCAGCAGAAAATTTAAAATTAATATTTCAAAATGATTATGAGCTTAAATTTTGCATTTTTTTTTCTAATAATTTTTTCAATAATTCGCACGACAATTATTTTAAAATATTGTGAATAACATAGAATATATAGTTGAAATGACGCTATATATGGACATTCCAATGCAATAAAAGGCTTATTTTTTTTAATGATTTCAAGGCTTTAAATTTGATTTACGAGTAATATCATGCATATTGAAAATAAAATTACTCATGAATCATTTATAATGCCTCAAAATGATTTTTAAAGATAGAAAATCCCTTTATTGCTTTGAAATATTCATATATATAGTGCCATCTATATGTTTTTTATACATTATTTATTTTAATTTTTATAATTATCCAGCTGCGTTAATTATTGAAGAAATTAATAAAAAAATAGTAAAAGAATAATAGAAAATAAAAAATTGAAGCTCATAATATATACGAAATATTATTAAGATTAAATTTCAAAATAGGTATAAGATGACCAATATTTAAAGAAATTTTTTTTCATATTTTGCCCATAATTATCAATTATTGACTTAGTTAATAATATTAGATTCAATATTCGAAGTAATTTAGCCTTTAATTTAAAACTAATTATTTAGCATCAGTAAAAGGTATATAAAAAAAGGTCGATTTTTAATACCTTTAATCCCCATTACCTCAAGTAATATAATTGATAATGAGCTAAAATTTTGCTTCAGATATTACTAGAACATATATAACGTTCCTGCAAATTTTAAATTGAAAGGGCCGAAAATCTCAATTTTATTTTTGACACAAAAATGGCCCATTAATGTTATCCGTTTTTTAAAAAAAATACATGTTTAGATATCCTAAACTTGACAGGCTTTTCTATCTTAGACACTCACAAGAATATGTCTCAGTTTACAGCTCCTCCACCTTCAGGGCAAAATCCAAATAACGACGATCCAACTACGCCGATCGATTTTCAAAATCTCAAACATCCATTCAACCACACTACTCAAAATACAAATAATGGTACTGGCAATGCAAATATCAATTTCACCAAATACAGTAATTCTGCAATCGGTAGTGATATATTGGATAACGAGGAAATCGATCTAAAAATAGAAAAGAGCAATATTTTGATGCTCGGACCCACTGGATCAGGTTAATCACCTTTCTTTAATCCCCCTCGATCCAAATTAATTATCTGCAGGCAACGTTTGAAAAATTTATATGAACCTGACCGGGAAGAAAAATTGACGAGCCGAACAAAAAATTGTTAAAATATTTACTATTTTATACATATTATATATATGATGAATTCCATATCAAATAAACTTTAAATAAGTCGATTGTCAACCCGAACCACTCATAATATTTTTAAATTTATATTGGTAGTATATACTATAACTAAGAAAAAATGAAATTTTACTTTCTTTCACTACTTTCTCGCTAAGATATGTGGGTTTAAAGAGCGGAAAGGTATATTTTTGACAAAATGCACTTCATTAATTTTAAAATATCTCAAGAAAAAATTAAGTTAAGCAAAAATTTTAATTTCATTATATAGCTGAATATTAGATCTTTTATGACATATAAATGAATGTGATAGAAAGCCAATTAATACCAAAAACCTTAAGTACAAAACCGGAAATGGCTATAGAATAAAAAGATATGTTTTCTATAGATGTATACCAAACTGCTTTATAATTGTACAAGTTTCTAGACTGAGATGAACGTGGATCTAGGAGTTATGTCTATTTATATGGCGAAAATTGATCAAATTTAACATAAATATCATCATATTTAAATTTAACGAATATTTACGTAATATTTTTTATTTAAAAATTATGTCAAATTATTTAAAAAATTTTGAGAGGTGAGGGGTGGGTGCAATTTGGTTTATTTAACACTTTGGTTAAATCTTCTCTTGGAATTACTTGGCAAAATTATTATTAATATTTTATTTTAGCCTATACAAAAATAAAAGAAAGGCTTAATTTTGACGTGAATTCAATAGACTATATAACATTTCTTGAAACGCTGACAAAATCCGCCAACTTATAGATTTCATTAAAAAATTAAATAATGATTCCTCATTCATATAACCTCCCAACAATCCTTATTTCACATTAAAATCCACATTATATGTTGGCGAATTCTTGGTTATTGCTGACCTTTAAAAAATTATGCATTTGTAGTGCAGAACCATACAAAAAGATTTCATTGGATGTGCATTTTATTCATTTCAAACAAAATTTATCTTATTCTTTAAAAAAAAGGATTTGGAAGAGTGCCAAACTATTAGGCAGAGTGGCATTTCTTTGCAACCGCATCTGATAAAAGTCCCTGCGACAGTTTCGGGAGCGTTTCTAAAAGGTTAGCAGCTTGCAACATGCATATCATATATTGACAACAATTGATTTATATAACTATGCAAGAAATATATCTGAGGGATAAATTTATATTTGTGATACCAAATCGATAACTTTTCGGCCCGGCTTTTTTAATTTCGATAAAATTTTGCATGAGAGAATATCATTAGAAAGCATCGAATCCAAAATTTTAGCCTCCTAGTACTCATATTTCCTGAGATATCAATGAAAATTGCCAAAAATGGCCTTTTTTCGAAAAATACGATTTTTTTGAGATAAGTTAAAAAATAAAGATTTTATAAATATAAGTTAGGCCTTTTATTAAATATCAAAGATTTTTTTGAAATAATATTGTTGCGGATATTTATTTACGTTATAAATTTTAAACATGAAAACTCCAGGTGTTTAATACTTTCAAAAAATTTAAACTTGGGACAGCCATGGGTTTTTAGATTACGATTTAAAAAATCAAAAAATAAATATTTTTTCAAAAATAGATGAGCCCTCCTTTATAAGATAACGTGTTTTGTTAAGATTATTATTTTTTCAAACTTTTTTTCATTTTTAAACATAAATAATAAGATTTTCCAGCATTACTATTATGAAAAAATATTATATAGATCGTTTGATAGGCTTACTTATATTACTATATTGATAACTTGTAAAAATTAGTGTTTTTATAATAAATGATTAAATTTCCTAAAAAGATAGGATTCCGATATCTCTAACAAGAAAATATATAATTAATTGTTGAAAGATAAAAGCAAGTTTTCATGCCTGCCCTAATATTAATTAATTTTTATTTTACAAATATTTGATATTAATTTTTTTTTTCTTAAAATTCTTTATAATGTATAAATATAAATGCGTAAATCCTTTTAAAGAATCTAAACACTTTAGTTACAAAAAGAACCTGCGTAAAGTCATGACGTGGATGACACAATATCCAAACATTGAGGCGGAACACTATATTTGTGATAAATGTCTAAACGGTTATCACAAAAAAATATTGAAAATATAAATTCTTATAGCGAATATGTAAGTAAATAATATCAACACAACATCAACATCAATTGATACAATATAACTTTAAACGAAATTGTAATATCTCCTATTATAACCGAAAAAAATTAGCTAAAAAAAAGGTAGCTAAAATATCAAAAGCTGTTTCAGATATAATAATTAACAATCCAGAATCGGATGCAAAAGACAATATTGATATACTTAATAATATGAAATCACAATATCTTAATTTATTTAATTGCTGACCATTCTGCCTCCTAATTGGAGAGCAAATAAAATAAAAACTACATTCAACGCTACATATCATATGGCATATAATCCCAAAATCATTTTAGAAGAAAAGGGAATACTTTTAACTCCAAATCGAAAGCCTGCAAAATATCTCAATTAAAAAACAGTTAATATTGTTAAAAAAAAATTTTGTAGTGATGAAGTTAGTAGGGTATTACCAGGAAAAAAGGATTGCATATCTATCATTGAAAAGGGGGAACGAGTGAGCGCTCAAAAAAGGTTAGTTCTTAATAATTTAAAAGAATTATATAATCATTTTAAGGCGAGTAATTCAAACATAACAATTGGAATTTTGAAATTTGCTAGCTTAAGACAAAAAAATTGTATATTAGCAGGGGCTAGCGGAACCCATAGTGTATGCGTTTGTGGCATACACCAGAATATTAAACTTATGATCTTAGAATGTGAAATAGCAACATAAAAATGGTGAGGTACATTAACAATTATAGAGATGTTATAGGCAGAATGATTTGCAATCCCCTGTTACCCACCTGTTATTTTGGTGACTGCAAAAGTGTCCTGGCTCGACACTCTTATAAAAGAACGCATCGAAAAATTATTTATAAAAATTGATATAGCTTTTGTTACGTTTAAACAGTGAGTTTCGGTAGATAGAACAACTGGAGACTATTTCTCAATCTGCAGACGAATTTATTCATTATTTTTTCGATAAAATGAATATTCTCATATGCCATTCATTTATTTGTGAACAACAAAGTTCATTTCACAATATTAAAAATAGTTTAGAAAATAATCACTATCTAATTATTTGTGACTTTTAGAAAATTATTCCTTTATTGTCCAAGACGAAATTCAGGGTTATCATTGGACAACTTCGCAAGTTACGTTGCATCCTTTCTCAATTTATTATAAAATGACAAATAAACAACCTTTTGTGGTAATATCGGAATCCTTAATTCATAATACTGTTTCATTCCTTTTATTCTTATCGCATTTGATTCATTTAAAAAAAAAAAATTCTACACTCCACCAGAAAAAATTCACTACTTTTCTGATGGTTCAGCAGCGCAATATAAAAATAGGAAAACATTATTGTTTGCTACCATGAAATTGATTTTGGTGTTCAAGCAGAATGACATTTTTTTCCTACGGCACATGATAAAAGTGCCTGCGACGGCATAGGCGGCACAGTAAAAAGGTTAGTTGCCAATGCAAGCTTACATAGATCTTATACTGAACAAATAATTACACTTTTACAATTTTTATAATATGCGGAAGAGCATATAAAAGGTATAAATTTAGTAAATTTATGTCAATACCTGGGACACAAAAAATTCATGCAGTGTTTCATTGGTTTAACTAAACTCAACACTAAACTATATTCTAATTCGCAGACATTTATTGTGGAGAATTTAGTATATCCACGTGAGGATCCTTTGGTTGAGGATCTATTAATCGATGAGATTAGAGGATATGTAACATTTGCATATGAAAACAATTGGTGGTTAGGATTTGTACAAGAAGTGAACGTAATTAGAGATGAAGTAAAAATTAATTTTCTTCCCCCTAAAGGACCAACAAATTCTTTTATTTATCCAGCTGCACAAAATATCCTTTTCATACCAAAAAATAATATTTAACAATAGTTAGCCCATCAACGGCTACTAGGCGTACATATAATTTATCGCAAAACGAAATTATCATGGCGTCAAAAAAACTAAATTTAATGAAAAACCGAAAATAGGTAATATCTTTCATGAATTTTAATTTATCTAGTATATCTACAAAATTTATAAAATAATTTTACGAAAATTGAAATTTTCTATAAGAAAAATATGATTATAACCGCAGCTAAATAATCTCATTTTATGATATTAATGATAGAAAATCTTGTTATTTATGTTTAAAAATATAAAAAAGTTTAAAAAAATAATAATCTTAACAAAACACGTTTTTTATAAAGGAGCGCCATCTATTTTTTAATTTTTTAAATCTTAATAACTAAAAAACCCATGGCTGCCAAGTTTAAATTTTTTTTATGAATAGATATAAGGTTAGCGAATAAAAAAATATTAAATTTAAGAAAATTTGGAAAGAGAAACACCTGGAGTTTTCATGTTTAAAATTTATAACGTAAAAAAAATAGCAACAATATTATTTCAAAAAAATCCTTAATAATAAAAAGCCTTTAATAGAGTTACAAAATCACATATAACTTATATTTTTAAAATCATTATTTTATTTTAAAAAATCGTATTCGAAAAAGGTCATTTTTGGCACTTTTGACCATTGATATCTCAGGAACTAGTGTTGTTAAACGGCTCGTTTTGAGCCGATTTTTAAAAACGGCTAACTCAATATTTTAGCCAGAAAAATATAGCCTAAGCCTTGAGATTTCGATAATATATATGGACCTTTGTTCCTTCTATGAGCAAAATCTTCAGGCTTGCGCAATATTTTTCTAAGTGAAGTAATGAGTTAGCCGTTTTTAAAAATCGGCTCAAAACGAGCCGT